GTAACACCATTTATACTACCATAGAAAGTAGACAAAAAATACATACCATGTATTGGGAGGCCAAGAAAGAACAGTGTTTAAATAAACTATTTTCTTTTAATGTGATCTTCTTGTCAGGAGTTAAGCTATATAAATCAAATTAGTGGTAGTCTGGTGTGAAAACTGATGGGCATGTGTAGTCTGATAATCAGGTTTCAGAAATGCAGCTGGGGTCAGATTAGTTCTATTGGGAGTAATTACCCCTGTGATTGCTTTGCTACAATGGTAGTCTTAGGACTCTCTGTCAAAGCTAAAACCAGGGAACTTAAAATGCAACCCATTCATCATCTCTGTTTTTTTTTCAATAGATTTAGTCGAGTGGGGCAGGCCTGCCTCTGCTACGTTTTCAGTATCTTCTTCCCCTCCCAGTGTGCTCTGTGCTTTTGGAACAATATGGGTAAACTTCATCCCAGAGACACATCCTGTCTTAGATGGCATCAAAATCACTCTCATTCACTTGTTTCAGACTCTCCAGAAGGGAGCCAAGCGGCTAATGGCTCCTATATTGTATTCCAGGCGACAGGTTGAGTGGGAGCCTGCCAGCAATTTGATTGAAGGGGTTTGTTTGACACTTCAGAGGCAGCCAATCATATCCTTCCTGCCTCACCTTAGGTCACTGATCAATGTCTGTGTCAATCTGGTGAGTAGCCAAGTGGCAATCTTATGAAACTTTGCACAATTTAACTCTGCTATTGACTTCTCTGAATTGAAGATTTACAGGTCAACCACTTTGTGCCCCTATCTGCCCATAAAAATAGACGCTCAGGTGACACTGAAAATAGCGAGGTACATTTCAAGGTGGTGTGTGGGGAGATCAAGGAGCCCATCCCTACGCAGACGGGATTTTGGTGTGCTGCTTCCCATGCACTACTTTGACAATTCACCTCTTCAAGTTGCGCTGAGAGTTGAGGGCTGCCAGTTGGAGAGTGGGGTGGTGGAGCCTCCACAATTGGCTAGAAGTTGAGGTAGTCTGGGGTGGGAGAACTTAAAATACAAAGGGGATTTTTTTTTCTTGTATGGTGCAAAATGACATTATGAGTTGGCCAGTCTAGGATTTATGTGAAGAAAAAAGATTTTTTTGTTGTTTATGTAATATCTAGAGTCTGGTCCTGACAAGGTTTTGTAAAATGTGTGGAAACCATGTTAGAGCATCTCATTAAATAGGACCTGCTGCTTCACTAGTTGAGCAATTAATCTGTAGTTGGAATGCCTAGTGCAAATAGAGCTGTTGCCATCATCATTGTTGTCAGTATTTGCTTCATTAAGGAATGTTGACTGCATTCCTTTGAATTCACAAGTAAGTGTCCAATCTCCTGATCAGAATAGCTTTTTGGTTCATCTCTCATTATTTATGTAGTTAACTATTAACAGCATTCTACAAAACCTTGGCTGAATTCAGTGTAATGTTCGATCTGACTCCAGACATTACATGCCTTCAGAAGGCAACAAGAAAGAAAAGATTGAAAGTAACATGCCCAACCTTCAATTTATCATTATTATCATCATCATCGTTGAGACTCCCTTACTATGGTTGCATGAAATTGCAATAGTCAAGGCTGGTCATGTGCTCTGTTTGTATTTCAGGTGATGGGAGTGGTAGGACCTTCCAGTGTTGCTGATGGATTACCCCTTCTTCATCTCAGCCCTTATCTCTCACCACCTCTGCCCTTCAGCACAGCTGTTGTCCGGCTTGTAGCATTGCAGATACAGGTGTGACTACCTTACCTGTTTGTCACGCTCATTAAGTTGTTGGTTGAGGCACCAGATCATGGTGTTCTCGTTTTTTCTGCAAAGGCTGGGCAAAATCTGTGAAACGAAAGTGTAAATATCTCCAAACTTTTATAGGTTTGGAGCTTCAGCCCTGAGCTTGGCCCTAAGTTGTGCTTCTGTAATTCTTCCTGAGATCTCAAATATAGCAGAGTCATTTAGTCCTGCCACAACTTCAGGAACCACTTCAGTCATTTAAAATGTGTGCAAATTATGGTTCACAGATAATCAGCTCACAATTGTTAATTAAAAGAGGCAGTGATATTCACAGTCTGGTTTTAAATTATTTTCAGAAAGAATTGCAATATAAAATTCTTTCAAATGTTATCACTAGACTCTGAATATCTTAATTTTCTTTAGTGATTGTGGGTTGAATATTATGAGTGCTTTTTTAAAGAAAATTCTCCCACTTAATTTATTTCTTAAAATTAAAATAATCATTCCCAAGGGGAAAAAAAAAAACAACAGCAACAATAACAACAAAAAAACAGCAGAATCCCAATTCTCTTGAGTATTTCTGTGTGTCGCCCAGTTTTAGAGAGTGGTAAATCACTGAAAAGCTCTGTAATCAATGGAAAGTACACAATTGATGTAAATGGATAACTGACCCATCCATTATTTGACAATAAGCTTGATGGCTCATCATCGAGAGAATGGGGAGATGATAGAAAAGAGACAAAGTAAGAGCTGTGGCTACCTAGCAGAAGGGAAACATTTTAATGACCTGTGTACAAAGATCACATATTTCTCTCTATATTGCAATTGCTTCCTGGCTTGAAGAAGGCCTCTCCTGGCAGGGGCCAGAGGACTTTTAAGTAATTCCCAAATGGAGCAAGTGAGAAGTTCTAATTTTCTTCCTTCTCCTTTGTTGTTAAAATATTTACTGGTGGACACAGAGAGAAAATTAATGGGGAAATGAGGTTGTTTTTGTACCTGACTATAAGTATTCTAATTTTTCATTTAATATTCAAGGTGTTACTATCTTTTTAGGTATATAGCTCTCAATTATATCAAGACAATGGTAAAGTATCAGATTTGGGTGAAGCTTGTATAATGTACAGACGACAATTGAACTCATAGTTTACAGGAGCAGCCGGCAGGGAATCACCGTCTCCATCATGCTGTGTAAAAACAAATATACTAAATGGGTATGGTGGTCAATTAATCTTTTTTTCTATTATTGCTGCACAGGCTTTAAAAGAAGATTTTCCTTTAAGCCATGTGATCTCCCCATTCACCAATCAAGAGAGAAGGGAGGGGATGCTTTTAAATCTGCTCATCCCATTTGTGCTCACAGTAGGATCTGGAAGCAAAGGTCTGATTAATTTAACTAAAGGAAATTTATCATTGTTGTTGTGTTTTCTTAAATGTCAGGCTGTTATTTCTTTTCCCTGTTCCCATGAAGACTATCACTGAAGTCGATCTGAATGATTTAAATCATTCTGATTAATCACCTTAGGAAATAAGAATTTTTCTTTCTTTTCAGTTTAGCTACCCTGGGACCAGAGATTCTCTGCTCTACTTCTTAGAAGATACATCCTATTTAAAGTCATTTCAGTACAACAAAAATCAGGGAAACCATGTTTCAATTCCGTTGAGAAAATGGTATTAGTTGAAGTACAATATAAGAATTGACAGGTGAACAAACTTTTACAACCACTGCCACTGGGTTTAGCAGAAATCCTTCCACTGTCATTAAATTCCAATGTATTTTCATTACTTTTTCTTCTTAGAGGTAGAGGGATTTTTTAAGGAAAAGTTATGTCAAATGTAAGAACAGTACCTCATGAATATTTGCAAAAAGAAAGGAGATTGAAATGGTAAGCAGGACATTTGGCTAAGACCACAAGTTTTTGGGTACCCACTATGAAGAAAATACCCAGGTGCCAGGAACACTGTTTCTGCCCATTGGTGAAGCTATACTTGGTGGGAAACACCTGAATTTGTAGGCTGTCATAGTTTGGACTTGGAAAGAGCTGAGTTTTTCTGTATCTAATATGGACAGTCTACCTTGTGATGTTTTTCTTTCCACTTCCCTCTTCCAAATTCTGCCCCTCAGATAGCCCATGGTTGGAGCAGCCTGAGGTGCAGCTGCTGCTGCAGACGGTCATCAACGTGCTCCTGCCACCGCGGATCATCAGCACATCCAGGAGTAAGAACTTCATGTTGGAGAGCTCCCCCGCCCACTGCTCCACCCCTGGGGATGCGGGGAAAGACTTGCGCAGGGAAGGGCTGGCCGAGTCCACCAGCCAAGCAGCATACTTGGGTTAGTACTTTCTCGCTCTCTGAGTGTGCGTGTATATGTGCGTGTATGTGAAAATATATGTGTAGATAGATAGATCGATGTACTTAAACAGTATTTAGACTTCAAACCAGAATGTATTTAAAGAGACCTCAATCCAGAATGTATTTAAAGAAACCTCTTGAACAAGAAACATTACCCTTGCAAAAGAGTCTGGTTTCCTTCAGTAAACATATACCAAAAAACAAAGTGGTTTCACATCCGCCATGCCTAAATTACTTGGCTGTTTTTATAAGAGTGTGTGGGCATGTAAGAAAGATATCTGCATTAAAGATTCTTCCTTGCTGATTAAGGACAAGATCACTAGTGAGGTTCAGTAGCTGTTATAAGATCTAAACTCAGTCTAGTATGCAAAGACACAGCATTGCACAACATGTGGGGCTCACTTGTCTGTCGTCTATGTAAATGGAGTTCTGAAGTTGGGCAGTCTACATCCTGTGCAGCAAGATTTGGTGATCTTGCAAGATGTTATGCCCTCTACTAGCTATTTTTTCTCCCTTAAAATGTCATTAATCTCCACCTTGATCATTACTCTAGTGAGGCCAGAACACTTCCTTTCCCACAGGCTTCCCAATCTCTTTCCCTCTTTGACTCCTACTTTCCCATTATCCTATGCTGCCTTTAATCTGGTCCTAACCCGTGAAGCAATGGAAAGCCACTCTTTGGCCCTGAATGAATTGTGCCAGCAGGAAAAGACCACTCTTGCCATGGCACTGAGAATAAGGAGCACTGGCAGTGGGGAATTTCAAAATGAGACAGTCTTGTCTGACATTCTCAATTCACCAAAGCAGATATTGGTGGGAAGTATAAGATAAACACAAACACACTGATGAAAATGAGTCCTTGGAGTTTGGAGATGGGGGTAGTGTTTGAACTGCATTATAATGGGATGTGTTTGAAAATGAGGGGATTGACAATGAAAATGAAAAAGGAGAAAAAAACACAAGGAATGAATGTACCCAGGACCAACCCATATGGATGCTCAGTTGGCCAAGGTATATAAAAATAGCATTCAAATCCAGGCTTTGGCATAGACCCCTACATGAAGGATTGCAGAGTATGATGGAGAAAAGGGGCTTACCATATACAGGAAGGATATGAGAAGACACTTGATGAGTTTCTGTCCTCTCCACTATCTGACGTCTTAGTGAAGAGCTGTTTCTACTTTGCTTATATAGCCAGGCTACAGAACCTGTATTTTAAATTTGTTTTTACATTTATTTTGAGCACTTAGTGTGCACCAAGCAGTTTTCTATGCTTTACATTATCACCGCGTTGAATCCTCTCATCCTTACAATAACTCCAAGAAGTTAGTATGATTCTCATTTTAGGAGTGAAGAGGCTGGGGCCCAGAAAGCTTGAGTAACTTGCCTGAAGGCATATAGTCAATACATGACAGAGCCAGAACAAGTCTCTCTTCTTGAACCCCTTTTATGCTGTGTGTTGGGCTGATGGAGGTTTAGGTGGAAAGTAGAATGGCAGAAAGCCAAAGGCAGACAACAGGCATTTAGTAACAGTGAAATGTCATCAGAATTAGTGTAGAGAAAGAGGAGTGTTGTTGTTTGTTTGTTTAGTTGAGGGAAAAAAATTGAGATGAGCAATTGCTGTGAAAAGTGAGATCTTGAGGAGGAAGATGGGTAAGAAAGAATCTTGCAGTCTCTCTCTCTGTGTGTTACATGTCATGAGTCTCTCCTGGAGATTTCCTAAATATGGTAAAGGCATATGTGACTCTTGAGGATTTTAGAGAATTAGATTTCTGTGTGCATTTAGTCACTCAATGCACTTAAGAAAGATTTTTGTGTTTTCCTAATCAAAATCAACATGTGTTTAGTATACATATTTTTTTAGATGCTGAGATTGATGGGCCTTAAGAATGATCAAGAAGGCCCAGGTTCACTTGACTGCCCTACGGCTGACTCCATGGTAAAAGCTGTAGTGGCAGAGGAAGCTATCTCATAATCTTTGATGTCTTCAGAATACTCTGGTTTGTCCTGACACACAGTTTGGGAAATCTGCTTCCTGAAAAATAAAAATAAATGCAGATTGTGAAGGGCTGCCAGAATCTGAGAAGAAAGAGATATGATAAAATAAATCCAGCAGGGCTTAGTAATGCACATACTGTGCAATGAAGGAAGAAGGTGTTTTTATATTTGGAAATGTACACTGAATGCATTTACTGGTTAACTCTGGGAAGCAGTTTAGGATGGGGACAGGAAGGGAGCTGGGAAGGAAAATACTTAATTTTTTTTAAACTCTGTGCACTTCTTCATGGTTTGATTTTATTTTTAATAACACAAATATTTATTTTGTGGTTAAAAGAAAAAGGTTTTTAAGATCTATGTTTTAGCTGAGAATATGAGTGATATGCCCATTATTACCATAAAGTCATTATGATTAAAGTTTTGGAAGGTAAAACGTTAGCCACCCATCATGTTGATAAACCATTTTCCTTTCAATTCAGTGGACCACATTGTTCTATATTTTCCAAAATAGTAGTTCAGTGCAGTTAAGAAAAATATTTAGGTTCTCTTCATCAGAATCAAAACACCATACACATTTTTGTCTCAATGTCCAGCATGCTCTTTCTCAGGAATACATATGAAGTTTTTAGAAACATGGAGAGAGTTTAGAGGTTTAGAAAATTTATCAAGGTGCAAAAAGGGCTGTGAATGTAGGTTGGGTTCCTCTGAAGCACAGATCTGCAGGCTTACTTTTCTCTTTTCCCGGTGTGAAGCACTGAAGGTGATTCTCGTCTGCTTTGAGAGGCAGCTTGGAAGCCAGTGGTACTGGCTGAGCCTCCAGGTGAAGGAGATGGCTCTGCGGAAGGTGGGAGGCCTGGCCCTTTGGGACTTCCTCGACTTCATCGTGCGGACCCGAATACCCATCTTTGTGCTTTTACGCCCTTTCATCCAGTGCAAGGTGTGGTGTGTGCTTCTCCTCCTGAAAGTGACAAGCCCGAATGAATGTGTGGCTCTCCACTGAGGCAGGAATGTGGCAAGAGTGCCATGGTACCTACTGTAGCCAGTTAGTAGGGCCTGTAAATACCATGCTTGATGAGAAAACCACCCAAAAATATATTCCAGAGGATAAAATTTCACACTAGAAGTGCCTTCACAGTAAGAGATTCACCAGAGTCTATAAAACTTTGCCCGCTCCCTACTAATCATCCCCCTACTCTACCCACCCAAAAGACTGGTCCAGCGGGATTGTTTGGAGAATCTTCTGTCTTCAGTGGCATGACTGAGATCTGATTTTAAATAAACATAGGATACTTAACATATGATTTCCTCCAAGACCCTCAGTACCCATCTACACTTGTTCTTTTCATGCCCCAATTTCTTACGGCAGTGATTTAAAACAATGTAATTATTAAACACTTCCTGTGTATACTGCTGTTCTAGGAACGTCATATGCATTACATTATTTATTCCTCACAACTATGAAATAGGTACAGCAGTTAGCCCATTTTACAGATGGAAAATTGAGGCCCTGAGAATGTTATGCCTTCCTTTCAGCTGCTGGCCCAACCAGCAGAGAATCATGAAGAGCTTTCCGCCCGGCAGCATATTGCCGACCAGCTGGAGCGGCGCTTCATACCACGACCTTTGTGTAAGAGCTCGCTCATTGCTGAGTTCAACAATGAACTAAAAATTCTAAAAGAGGCAGTTCACAGTGGATCGGGTGAGTGTGCATGAGTGTATTGTGAATTTGACTAATGGAACTCACAGCCTACAAAGAATTCCTCTGCCCAGGTCACCACACTTTTTGGAGCTATAAATATGTTAACCATTTTGGTACACTACTAGATTTGACCATTCCTAGTAAGTTAGCCATTTGACCACTACTAGATTTGACTTTCTCTTTTGTCAGTAACAAAATAGAAATCGAAAGGATATCATAAGAGTTTAATTTTCTTCCTTTTCTAGATATTGTTTAAATCTTCATTTTAGTAGTTAATCTCTTTCTTGAATATTTAATCAGAGGAAAAGTGGTTTAAATCATTGCTTTTATTTTTCTTTTGAAAAAGAGAAGAGGGACATTCATTTATTGAGCTTCTATTTTATGGTAGATTATTTCCTTTAATCTATACAAATACCTTCAAGGTGAATAATTGAAAGTCCCTGTAAAGAATGAAGAAACAGACACAATAGAAAATAGATAAGTAACTGTCAAGTACATAACTTACTATTATTGCATAGAAAGTGATTATTGCAAGGGGATTTTCAACCAGATCTCTATGATTGATTTATAAAGCCTTGAAATTTTCACAAATTGAAAGGGGAAGGATCCCATTAGAGCTGGCAAACTAGGAGGTACTTCTTTACATTATTCTAAAGGTATACTTCGAGAGTACATTATTTTATTTTTTATAACCATATTAACAGCAGATTACTGAGGAAGGAAAATAAATATTATTTGCCATTAGAGGGCAGTCATTACCCACAAGTAAAGTGTAATATGTGTTGTGTTTTCTTTTTTGTGGGAGGAGAGGGTTGTTTGCTTTCCTTCTAAAGCTTGTATTGTTCTTCACATGCAATGTGGTAAAAACAAAATATTGACAAGTATAATCCTGGTGAAGTCTACACTTTACCATTCAAATATTCTGCTTTGTAATAAAATAAACTGACATAGAACTGAGGGGTATTTTATAGGTTGTAATTTCCAGAAAGTTAGAATGAGAACAGTTTTGATTATGCATTCTGATTTTGATTGTGGGGTTCACATCAGACAACTTATTTATTACTTTCATAGGCTATATCAAATACGATATATTTCTTAGTAAAAATTGCCAAGTTCGAAGCTACAATTCAGGTCAAAGTTAATTTGCATCCTACCAACCTTGGAAAATAAAATAGAAAAGCAGTAAGAGAGGAAACAATGTCAAAGCATTTAATATTGTTATAGGTGTTACATTCTATCAAGGGAACTATTCAATTATATCAGTGATTACTTTTAAAACACCCCCATTTTCATTTGCAACTTTGATATAAAAATCATTTGTCTGGGACACATTATTTAACCTTTTCTTAAAAATACAAGTGGTCAGGGAGGACTTTGAAGCGGACATCTAAGATTCTCACCATACATTTCCTTTGATCTCTCAAATCCTCTAGCCTACCAAGGCAAGACATCCATCAGTACCGTGGGCACCTCCACCTCTGCTTACCGCCTGAGCTTGGCCACCATGTCCCGCTCTAACACGGGAACAGGCACTGTCTGGGAGCAGGACAGTGAGCCATCCCAGCAGGCTTCGCAGGACACCCTGAGTCGGACTGATGAGGAAGATGAGGAAAGTAGGTGAATTCAACGAGCCTGGGTGGAAGACACGGCTCGGCCATATGAGCAAGGGCTTGGGAAGTATTATTGCCCTTCTGACCTTTTCCAGTTCTGATCCCCTAGTCATTTTTATACAAGGCATTCTAGGGTAAATGTTTCCTATAAATTTCTTGATATCCTTTGGTTATTTAGAAAGAATTCAGGAAAAAAGCAAATCATTAGTGACTTACATAGTCAACTTTTTCCACTAACTCCCATTTAAATTATGGATAACTAACCAAGGAAAGCACTTACTCTCATTTTACCTGGACATCTTGCTTAGAGGGCTGATTAGAACTTAAATGACCTCATTAGGCAAAGAAAAGTGAGGAATACACATGCCTAGGACTCAGAAAAGACCAGTTGGCTCTACCATCCAGTATGTAAACCAGCATGCTCTCTTGACGGGATGTACTCAAAATTTGAGTTAAGAGAATCACCAGTGACTAGGACAGCCCAGAAGTTTCTAAGTCATGTGCTAGAGATTTGGTGTTATGACATGAGGAGAAATACTACATATGTTTGCTTCACAGGAGATTATAAAAGGTAAAATTAGGGTGAACGTTTCCATTAAATGCTACTGTCATTTCAGGGGTCTTAAAGTTACATTTATTATTTTCCACTTGTGTGTTAAGATACTCTGATATAATGTTTATAGCAAAGTTGTGTTGTCAATGTCATGTGAATGAGAACAGAATTTAGATCTTCACTCAGGCTCTCCATAACAAACAAAACAAAAGGCTCTACTCTGAACTAAATCAAATAGAAGAAATGAGAGTTGAGGTTAGAATTTTAATCAACTGAGATAAATGAAAGTGTTTTAATGTCCTACTACAGTTGGAAATGTAACAGAAGAAAAGAAATACATGCTTTGTCAGTACTTACCAATAATGTTTGCACATTTAGCTTCAGTGTTGGTCAGAGAAAAGAAAAATCATATTGTCCTGCGCCTGGCCTATAGACACATTTGTGTCTAAGTCACCCTGGTGACTGCCCATAAAAATAGACATGAAGTTGTAATTAGGGAAATCTTGACCAAGAAAACACCATGAAAGAGAAAAGGATCAGCAGTTTATTTTATTTTATTTTGAGACAGAGTTTCACTCTTGTTACCTAGGCTGGAGTGCAATGGCGCAATCTTGACTCACTGCAACCCCAACCTCCCATGTTCAAGTGATTCTTCTGCCTCAGCCTCCCAAGTAGCCGGGATTACAGGCAAGCACCACCATGACCAGCTAATTTTGTATTTTTAGTAGAGTCGGGATTCCTCCATGTTGGTCTGGGTGGTCTTGAACTCCTGACCGCAGGTCATCCACCCGCCTCGGCCTTCCAAACTGCTGAGATTATAGGCTTGAGCCACCACAGCTGGCCAAGGATCAGCAGTTTAAATATCCATTTTTTTCTTTAATGCTTGAAGTAGTCTCTCCCAGCAATTGTAATTAATTATAGGAAATGATACCATCTATTTTTGTAGAGCTAAATGTATTTTGTGGGTAACCTTATAAATAATAGATGTCCTAACCTGTAAATAAGACCTAAACAGTGATATCACTGGCCAAAAGCCAACACTAACATACTAGTGAGGCAGCAGGGGGATTGGGGAGCCACGCAAGTTTTTGCTTATATCTCTGATTGCAGACATCACAACCATCCCAATGACAGCAGGATTGTTAACAAATAGTGTGTGTGGTTGTGATATGGGTGTGTATTTATCTAAATAGGGAGGGGTATGAAAACTAGATCAATGTTTTGAGTTAAACTATTTTTACATTCAATAATAAAACTTGAATTAAGGCCTATCAGGTATAAGATAAGGAAGAAGGAAGTATGAGAAAGATATGTTCTCTGCTTTCTAAGATCTTATAATAGATATAGTTATGTTGAGGAGATGAGAGACATTTATAATAAAGAACATTTAACAAAAGAGCTAGTGGAAGACAGCACATGATTAATCACCAAACAAATACTGGGGACATAACTGTTAAGTGATATGTGAGTACAAAGAAAGGGGCAAAGAATCAATGGGATTTGAGTTTTTTATATTTTTAAGGCACATTTGTTTATTCTGTTCTCTGTGGACATATCTAAAAAGAAAATATCATTCTATAATAAGAATCAATTTTAAGTCAGTGATTATATAGCAAATTAAAATTGCTAGCACTTTTCATATTCACCTTTTGATATGAAATAAGTTCAATTAGAAATATGATTACTTTGGGTATTTTAAATAAATCATATCAGGTGATCTTATATGGTAGCATACATTCTTCGCTTATCAAAGAATGTTTAGTGTTCATCAACAAACAACATTATCTCACTTAGAATTAGGTCACTTGGTCATAAACACTGTGCTAAAGTTAATTTTCATATGAATTTGAGTATATTAATTTCTGTTTCTGGCTGGGCACTGTGGCTCACACCTGTAATTCCAGCACTTTGGGAGGCTGAGGCAGGTAGATCACCTGAGGTCGAGTTCAAGACCAGCCTGCGCAACATGGAGAAACCCCATCTCTATTAAAAATAGAAAAATTAGCTAAGCATGGTGTTGTGTGCCAGTAGTCCCAGCTACTCTGGAGGCTAAGGCATGGTAATCACTTGAACCCGGGAAGTGGAGGTTTCAGTGA